TCGTACACACAAAACGCCCGCGCACACACGCACGCAAGCAAAACACACGCACGCATGTACGAAACGCGCCTACGTAATGTTGTAAGTTATTGCAGATTTTTTTTTATCACCGACGCCCCGAGCCCAGGCCGGGCTACGGTTGCCTCTACACCGCCGAGGCTGCTGCTGCTGCTGCTGCGTGGTGGCAACGCGCTCGAAGTCTCTCCTCCGGCGCACACAGACGCACGGCACCCGTCTTGCGCGTGTGCGCGCGCACGTGCGCACACACGTGCGCACACACGTGCACACACACGTGCACACACACGTGCACACACACGTGCGCACACACGTGCACACACACGTGCACACACGTGCGCACACACGTGCACACACGTGCACACACACGTGCGCGCGTGCACACACACGTGCGCGCGTGCACGCACGTGCACACACACGTGCACACACACGTGCACACACACGTGCACACACACGTGCACACACACGTGCACAAACACGTGCGCGCGCGGTGCCAATTACGAGGTGCGCTCATTCATCATTCGTTCCTATAAGGTCGCCAACGCTCTTGCCCCCAATTATCTCCTGGAATTGATCCCCCCCCCCCTACTCACCTACCCCCCTACCCCCCCCCCCCCCCGCATGCCCCGGCACACAACCTCTGCTCCACAACCTGCCCCCCAAGTCACACCACTCCTGTCTGGCAAACGTCGGATAGAAATTACTCAGGGGCCGTATAATGGCTGTGTGAGAGAGAAGGGCCGGGCAATGCCCAGGTCGTGAGTTTAAATCTGTGTCTCAGCCAACCTTCGTTAAACCGGGTTCCTCACGTGCAGTGCGTTTGATGGTCCCATGCCCGGTCATCAAGAACCGCGCGGACAAAATCCATTTTCTAAATTTGGTGAATTTGTCTAATTTGGCCTAACTAACCTCTAATGGCTAACATGAAGCATTGAAGTATTGCGTCTTACTTGAAATATCATTAATGACCATCAAAAATCAATAATCGCTATCACCACCACCTCAATCAAGTCGGACAGCACCACTTTGTGGAAAACTAGCTGGCGATGAATCGACGGAGCCATGTCACACGAGTGTGTAATTCACACCACCAGCTTATCAATATGATGGCGTGAAGAGGCAGATGAGGGCAGGTTGGGAGCGCTTTCCAGAAATGAGCTTAATAATTCAAAGCAACGTATAGCAATGTGCCTATAGAAGCACGTGTTATAAGCCTACGTGTTAAACGTTTTATTTTGTCGTCATCTTTTTATATTGCCTAGCTAATACGTAAGATCAGAAACGTGCACGCGGAACAATGCAATGGGTCAACAGTTCAAGGGTGTGCAAAGAAGCACGCAGAGATTTGCTGCTTTGAAATGATACATACTTGGAATTCTACCGCGAGACAGGATGGCGAGATGTTGACTCCCTCGCCTGCTGTATATTCGGAGTTTGCGTGTTCTCCCCGTGGTTGTGTGTATTTTTTTTTACACGGTTTTCCCGTCCACATTTAGAATCAACGCGCGTTTAGAGTAGGTGGGCGCTGTACATTTCCACGTGGTGACAAGCCAGTTCGTTGAGCGAGGTGGCTTCTGACAAAGAGCGATATATCTCAGTTTAGTTGAAATAAAATACAAGTTGAGATGAGAGAACACATGTATTCAAGTAATAGACCTCATTGAATATTGTGAATGACACAGTATGCATGGTCCTGTGAATGTCATACGCTACTCGAGTATCTATAAAGAAAGCACGTACCTGATGACGGACGCTTGTGTTGCGCCCGAGACGTCGTGATTTATTTTATTTTATACCTACGTGACTTTACCGAAAGAACCAAAGAGTATGGATTCCTGCAGTCACGAAAGCTTAAAATCAAGATTAAAGCATACAAAGTTTAACACGCAAGCTTTCGCGACCAATATTTTTCATAATAAAGGTGTTTTGGGTTATTTCGCGTCAGTATAAATGTGTCGTAACCCTCCACCACCCGACACACCCAGACACAGCCAGTAATTCAGCTGATTGTGGGTTTACTCTCCAACACACCGGTGGGCTGAAGTAGTAACTCATTGACGCGTTTTGTTTCCGTGACAAACCTCACTGGCTGTGTCTGCTGGGGGAGGGTCACGAAACATCCATACGCACGCGATCTAACCCAAAACAAAACCTTCATTATAAAATCATACACACTTTGATTGTACTCCACTGTAATTCATTTTGCAGGACCTATCAGATTCCGTGTCATTGGGAACCTAAACGTGCCACTAACGGAGTTGCTTCTTCAGCAACTTCATTCAGTTGTATAAGCGCGGCCTCGTCATTCGATCAAGATTCCCATTGAACTCTGCGCGTGGGTCACGTCCGCCAATTTCTGCATCTCACGTAACGATGCTGCTGTCCTGAAACAACGGCATTAGGAAATCGAGAGCATCTGGAGGAGCAAGGAACGGCACCGGCAGGTGGCTGAAATTGCTCTTAATTTTTGGCCCGCCTTCTAAAAATAGCCGGAGTCAGGCGTGGGTCTTTTGCTAATGACCTTTCAACAACGTTGGACCAAAGGGCCGTCTAATAATGGCTGCTTAAAACACACGCACGCGCGCGTGTGTGTGTATAATCGCGAAGAGCACAGCTGTGCACTGCCTTGTGTTTAATGTATAAGTATTTGTAGTTCATGTGCCTCGTGTTGCGTGTCGTGTTGTGTCCCGGATCGTCTCGTGTTGTATCACATGTTGTGTCTGTGTCGCGTTGGGTCACGTGCTCTGTGTCTCGTTGTGTCACGTGCTCTGCGTCTCGTTGAGTCACGTGCTCTGTGTCGCGTTGCGTCACGTGATCTGCGTCTCATTGCGTCACGTGCTCTGCGTATCGTTGCGTCACGTGCTCTGTGTCGCGTTGCGTCAAGTGCTCTGTGTCGCGTTGTGTCACGTGCTCTGTGTCGCGTTGCGTCACGTGCTCTGTGTCGCGTTGCGTCAAGTGCTCTGTGTCTCGTTGTGTCACGTGCTCTGTCTCGTTGTGTCACGTGCTCTGTGTCTCGTGTCACGTGCTCTGCTTCGCGTTGCGTCACGTGCTCTGTCTCGTTGTGTCACGTGCTCTGTGTCTCGTGTCACGTGCTCTGCTTCGCGTTGCGTCACGTGCTCTGTGTCGCGTTGCGTCACGTGCTCTGTGTCGCGTTGTGTCACGTGCTCTGTGTCGCGTTGCGTCACGTGCTCTGTGTCTCGTTGCGTCACGTGCTCTGTGTCTCGTGTCACGTGTTCTGTGTCGCGTTGCGTCACGTGCTCTGTGTCTCGTTGAGTCACGTGCTCTGTGTCGCGTTGCGTCACGTGCTCTGTGTCGCGTTGTGTCACGTGCTCTGTGTCTCGTTGCGTCACGTGCTCTGCGTCGCAGTACGTCACGTGATCTGTATCATGTACCCCCTATACACTCAGAATGTTTTGTATGGAACCCCAAGAGCTAAACATCAACATTGTCCACTGTGGAAACCTGGCAGGACATTGCTGAAAAAGTATTAATACTCAGTGAGGCTCTCCTGTGCCAACAAGCGTAACATCAACAACAATATAAAAATACAAATAATCATTGTCCTTCACACTCCCCCCTTCCTTCCTCTTCTGTGCCTCCTATCTCTCTTTCTTCCCCTTTCTAATTCTCTCGCTTCTCCGATGTTTCCTACAGCATGGTCAGGGGGTTCTATTGTTGTGTGTGTTCATATTGGTGGTTTGGACGCTGTGTATCATCCCAGCTCTGTGCCATCTCATTGCTCTCGTTCAGTGTTAACGACGTCAAATGCCTCTCTGGACTCTTTCAGCGCTGGCAATCTATCGTACCGGAACATTTGACAAATTGCTAATGGGGAATTGTTTCACGTGGGAGGAGGAAAGCCAGGATACTCAGAGAAAACTCATGCATATGTGGGCCAGACCTGCAGTCAATTACAATCGTAATTAAGCCCGCAATGAATTGAATGCACAATGTAACTGCCGTAGAACTTTTGCACACCTGCGCAGCTGTAATTGTAACTATAATTACACCCTGCAATGAAACTATAAATAACCTACAGTTCAGTTACAAGCCTCAAACTTCTCAGCTATGCACTTCCACCTGCCAAATCCGCGAGCCTTCAATGCCCGCGGTCACTGTGGACCCTGTAGTGAGGACATACGTATGCTTGCCCGTTTGGCATCACTGGTCACATTGTCCACAACTTCAAAATCTAAAACATGTCCTTCTGGCTTGGATTAGAAAATCAAGGAGTTCATCTCAGATGACCAGCAGATTTTCTCTTGGCTTCTGACTGGAGGGACAACGGTGTGCCCATGGTATCTGCTACCAAGAAAAAAAATTACAGCTTTGGCTCCAGCAGAACCATAAAACAACAGCTGAGTGTGCATTGTCTTCTGAGAAATCGTATCCACCATCGTCCCGTCCCTGTTCAGCATCACACAGAGATTCATTCCTGGCCGCATTCTCTTTGCAGACCACGTGGTGTCTCTAGTAGGCAGGCTCATACAGAGTCTCGGTGTATCCGTACGTCAATATGCTGATTGAAATTAGGGGCCGTCCATAAATGACGTCACGCGTATTTGGACGATTTTTGACCCCCCTTCGTCACACGGCGTCACAAAAAGTCAGACCCCCCCTCAAATATGACGTCACAAAGCTCGGTCCCCTCCCCCCCAAAAAAAACATGCTTCAAATCGCTTTAAACTATTGTCATTGTAGTGCGTATTCAATGTGGCGCTGCACTCTGATGTTGTAGGAGAAAATATTTATTGAAAAGTCAATTTAATTAAGTAGAACGTGTTGTTTATAATTATTTAAAGTTGCGCATTTTGATGTGACGTCACATTTCTCACCCCCCCCCCCCCATCGTCACAAATGTCTGACCCCCCCCCCCCCCACTAGGTGCGTGACGTCATTTATGGACGGCCCCTTAGACTATTTTTACTTTACCAGGTAAGGCCCCCAATGAGCTCTGTAGCTCTTTTACAGAAGCGACCTGGCCACAAGTGACAGCTCAACGAAGTGGCTTATCACGTGCAAAATGTATAGCAGCCACATACCCTACGCACCCACTTCTAAACGTGGAGGGAAAAACCGGAGGACCCAGATAAATATTCACGCGACCACGGCGAGAACATTCAAACTCCAAACATACATGCATCAGGGTAACTCATTACTCGCACTCTCTCTCTCTACTATCTCTTTAAAACTTATTTTTTTGCGTGTGTGTGTTTCAGGATTTTGCGTTGCAACGTCCGGAGATGAACTCACTCCGGTCGGAAAAAGGAATCTTCACGGTGAGACCTTCCCTCGCCTCTTATCATTAAGACGTTCAAACGAAATCCCTGCCGCCGTAACGAATGTTTTATTAGTTTTGTTTAACATCGGCACAACGGAATGAAAGTTCTATCCTTGAGCGGAAAGTGTCTTAAGCAAAGCAGCGGAAATGCCCGCGATTATAACAAATTATAGATTGAAAACTAATTTCTTGAGAACTGATTTTTATGTTTAGTTTGTTGTCCTTCCCCCGCAACTACGATTAGCACGGTTGGCTACGTACGGTGCGAAAGAAGGTCACGGTACAGGAGTGAGTGAATGGCCAACACCGCGCCCGGCCACCTTTGCCTCCCCAGTGGCGATGTTTACACGCCGCACCAGGTACTGATTTGAGGCTGAGTCGACCTAGGGGAGGCCCATGACCGGTTCAGATAATCGTCGTCGGTGTCGGCCGTGAGCGGGTATCGAACTGGGTTCGCCGGGCTCGTAGCCCGCGACGCTACGACCGCAATGACAGGGAGACAGACGTATCTGACGCACGCGGAAAGAATGAGGACACACACGCACAAATGTATTATTGCCATTCAATGACGAGATAACGATATGCAATAATGAAGCTCGCTGGGTGTTTCTCTGTGTGTGTGTGTGCCACGATTAATGCCGTAACAATCCAACCATTTGAATAATTTTCGCGTGCCCTGGCAATGAACACCGCGGGGCATTAAGGGGCCTGGCAGCTGCCCCTTAACGGTCACACAACACATACACACCACCACCACCAATCTCTTTTTCCTCTCTTCCCTCCCTCCCTCGCCCTTCTCCAAATAGAGCAGCCTCCCACAGGGAAGTCTATCAGTGGAACGGCACACACGAAGCAACACCACACCGAGAAGGAGGGAGAGTAACGCACAACTTCTCCTTACACACTGTCGCCACTTTCTGCTCTGTTGCACCGCTCGTGTAAATAGCCTGAAGGTTATACCAGCTCAGCTGATATTGTGTTAGCATCTGCAACAAGAACAACCACAGCAACAACAACATCAACATTCGCGCCGGTTATTTGTGTTTTGTGTTTTTTTTTTTGTGAGCAAGGCACGAGCCAGGCTAGGTGGACCGATCGTCTGTTTGAACGTTCTCCGCTTGGCGAGTAAAAGTGGCCTCATCAGAGATGTCGGCGATGGAGCTCAAGGCCCTGCTTAGGGGTCCCCACACCTTGGACCACTTAGAGAAGCAACTCATCTGCCCCATCTGCCTGGAGATCTTCTCCAAGCCTGTGGTCATCCTGCCCTGCCAGCACAACCTCTGCCGCAAGTGCTGCAATGACATCTTTCAGGTGAGCTCCAGGCCCATCGGCGTGTTCCGTGCGTGGTCATCTTGTCACGTTTATTTATAGAGAGCGAGAGTGTCCAAGACAAACTCAGCGCATTCGTGAATGACACCGTGGCCTTCAAATTGGTGACGTGGGCAGTGGCTCTTCTTCACAGCTTTAAATTTGCTTTGAAGAAGGGCCATCAGCCGAAACGTCGCCTATTATATACTCGTTTCCTTTTTAAAGCCACGGTGTTTCTTGACAAAAGTTGTTATGTGTGTTTGTGCACCACCGCCAACGCAGCATCACCAACAATATATTTTTTTTAATAGAAATAAAGTTCAAGTGTATTTGTTTAACCGGGTGAAAACTCAAGAGACGAGGATGATGTCACTGGTAAGAGCGACATGTCCACGAAGCCACGACACTGTGCTGTCGGAGTTGAAGGTGCAGCCCTGCAACTTGTCACTCACGACACTGCTGGCAGACGAGCCTCCGCTAGAGGGAGCTCTACAAGGCTCCCTCCATCTAGGTTCGGGGGACATTTAAACGTACTCTTCCACACTGCCCAGATGGCTTGGAGGAGGCGGCAATTACTCACACTTTACCCCACCACACGTGACCTGTGCAGCAAGAGTGCGAATGCCTTACCATATGAATAAAAAGTGTGCTTTACTTGGCCCTTCCCCCCTCTCCAACCATTATATAAACGGAGTGGTAGCTTCTGCAATCTCTCATTTACTTGATACAGCTGTCGTGATACAGTAATTTTGCTGTGACGGTTCCACCTGCAGACGGAAGCTTGTGTTGCCTCCGAAACGTCGTGATTTTTATTTTATTTTACTTTTATTAATTTTAATGTTTTACCTACGTGACTTTACCGAAAAAACCTAAGAATATGCCAAGGGAGGGGTTATATCGTTCCCGGCCGGACTAGTTTTTTCGTATTTTTTTTTTTAAAACCGCATCGCCATCGGCACCAATACCCCCCCGCCCGCCTGATGGAGACGTTGCCACGTTTTTTCAAAAGTAAAAAAAATACTCGTGAAAAACGATCAGTCATCGAGGTGGCATCGATACCCAGAGTATCTGCCTGCTCAAAAATAGCCACTTGGCTGCACTCCTATTCGCAGCATTCAGCCAGTGGTGATCGTTCCACGTTTGTATGATGGGACCAGACAAATACGGAGGGCAAAATGAAATAAATAACAATGAATGGGCTGTATTGGTAGTGCACACGGATCGATTTGATTGTTTTTATCGACTAAGATGTGAGTTTAACACACAGGCTTTCGCGACCAATATCATCCATAATACAGTTTTTTTTAGGTGAGATAGTATTACATGTGATCTCCAACTATGAGTGTAAATCTCTGCCCTCAACTTTGAAGGACAGTTACATAAGAACATGCTCCTGCTCAGCGTTTCTGTTACATGGCAATGTCAATGATGGGCCGAGGAAGATTGCTTTTTTTTTATCAACAGCAGTCACCGCTGGCTTTACGCAAAATTAAACTAATTTTCTGTCCCTGCTTGATGGATGCAATTTTGGATTTTGGCAAATTCGGGAAATCCTGAAACCGGCACACAATGGCATACTCTTGCAAAATTACACCAGGGGATATTTCGTTCTAGATTTGAAGCTTTCGTGACTGCAAGGATTCATATTCTTAGATTTTTTCGGTAAAGTCACGTAGGTAAAACATTACAATTAATAAAAGTAAAATAAAAATAAAATAAAAATCGCGACGTTTCCTAGGCAACACAAGCTTCCGTTTTATTTTTATTTTACTTTTATTAATTTCAATGTTTTACCTACGTGACTTTACTGAAAAAACCTAAGAATATGGGATATTTCGTGTCCACCGTGAGTGAAGCAGACGGCGTGTAGTCGTATCAAAACAGATCACACCGCGGTGACGAGATGTTAACTACCTCGCCTGGTATGAAGGAGGTCGTTGGTTCAATCCCGACCCTGATGCCTGTATAGTTGGAGTTTGCATGTTCTCCTTGTGGTCTCGTGGATTTTTCACCGCGTCCGGATTTTTCCACCACATTTAGAATCCATTTAGAAACCTGCGCTTGGAGTATCAGGCTGCTATAAATGTCCACGTGATAAGCCACTTCGTTGAGCTATAATTGTGGCCAGGTCGCTTCTGAAAAAGAGCTACATAGCTCAGTGGGCTTTACATGGTAAAATAAAAAAAATAGTTTAAAGTTTCGTTTATAGTTTATAACCAGGGCCTGGGCGCTGAATTCGAACCACGCACCTCAGCAACAACAACAAGTGGCGATCGCGCTACCGCTGGGCCATGTCACGACCTCTGGCTCTCGAGCTGTGGTCCTGCAGACCACTGGTGCTCCGCAAGCCGCGGGAAGTAGTCCGCACAACGAGCGCGGACCCACCGGGACCGCGGCTTTTGCGAAGCTTTCCCGCTCGCAAAACATTCGGTATTGTCTCACCGGCAGCCTCGATTGCGTGACTCGACACCCGGGGTCTTGCGGGAATGGGAGCGTCGATTCCCAATGTTCTTCCCGGTTGTTGAGTGGCACAGTGGTCACACTTATCCGACGACGAGCACGTAAACACACGCGCTAATTAAACGTTTGTTTATGTCGGGTCGGCGCTTGGAGTGCGTGTTGTTCCGTGTGGCAATATAAACTCAGGCCTAATTAAAGCCACACACACACCTCTTTAAACACTCACTCACCGCTCGTTCGTTGGAAACACATTCATACCGCATACAACTCAGCGAGACACGCAATACGTCTATTTCTGGAGCGTAGTTGGATTCTCGGCAACGGCTAACATCAGTGGCGACTGATACCTGAACCGATCCTAGCTTCTCCTCTTACTAACCTGCACTCACCAGCGTGGTTAAATATGGTCAGACAGGCCCCACGACCGTATGGAAAGACCTTGATCCAGAAGTGGATTGGCAAGTGGCTGAAATTATGTCGTTCGACAATGGAAATGAAATTATCCAGGACGTCACTTGATTAAACAATAACTACAATTTTCACAATACTACTCCTTGATTTTTCATAACAATACATTACTTTTATATATAGTCCAGCTCGGGATGTGTAGCCAGTTACTTAATGAGTTTTCATTGTATGGGGGTGGAAACAGGAGTCTCTGCGGACTAAAAAAAAGAAGAGGAAATCCATTCCGACCGCCCCGGGTCCCGCACTTTGGGGGGCCCCACGCTTCGGCGTCACAGTGTCAGATGTAATACTTCCGGTTTAGTTTGAAAGCGTCGGGTGTGGTGAGGGGCCACACAGCATGATCAGCCCCGCCCCCCCCCATGGACAGCCCTGCCGATAGATCAGCAACCTATTTGCTCTACCAACATCTACCAGCCACATGGCAACACAGCAAGCCGCCGGGATACGGAGCTCGGGACAAAACGTGTGACCCAGCCCCTCGCAGAGCGCTCGGGGTCACGGGCGGCACGCGCCGCCACGGTGACCGGCGCAGCTCTCGCTGTGGGGGGCAGCGCCCCAGCAGCAGCCGCTGCTCCGGGCGGTCAGAGCCGAGGGTGATTGAGCGGCTACACGAGGCCCGGTCCCCGTATCTCGCCGTTCGAGACGTCCGGCAGAGGCGGCCGTGGATTATAAACGATTAAACTCTTCTTCTTGGTTCTTTCGGTAAAGTCACGTAGAAAGGGAAATAATAAAGTAATAAAAATAAAACATAAAATAAAACATAATGTTTTCTTTTTATTATTTTATTATTTCTCTTCTACGTGACTTTACCGAAAGAACCAAGAAGATGAATCTCTGCAGTCACGGAAGCTTTAAATCGAAACGATTAAACTATCAAGACATAAAATGCGTATTTATTGTACCGGGTAACAAGGCCCACTGAGCTACGTAGCTCTTTTTCAGAAGCGACCTGGCCACAAATGATAGCCCAACGAAGTGGCTTGTCACGTGGGAATGTATAGCAGGCAAATACTCGAAACGCACGGTTCTAAATGTGTAAGGAAAAACCGGAGGACCTGGAGGGAAAAATCCAAACGACCACGTGGAGAGAGACATGCGAACTCCAAATCGGACCCACGACCTCCTGTATAGCAGGCGATGGAGTTAACATCTCGCCACCGTGGGGCCTCTATTATTTATTTTAGGGAGTCACGATCCAAACAGCTGCAGAAACCTTAATCTGTCTCCCTCCCGACAGATTTACCCGACACCCTCCCTCCTGTAGACCCCCCACCGCCTCCACCACGAGGCCTCTACCCCCTTGCCCCCCCCCCTCACCAGCACCCAACAGCCCCATTAACCCCCCGCAGAACCCCAAGGCCAAGACTCCACTTACAGAGCCCTGGGGGCCCAGGCGAAGGAACGCATTTGAACTTTGGCTATTTGCAGCCGTGGAAAAAGTGAAAACACAATTTTACTGAGGGTGCTGTTCACCCTGCGGACGGAATTTAAGGAATGCGCGGAGTTATTTCGTGGATTTAAACTGCTGTGGCACCGCGGCATTCACAATTACAATTTGTGAAAGTGTACAAAATTCCTAATTAAATTGGCAATGCGACCTATTTAACAATGCACTGTCCAGTACTTGTAATACATAATACGGTCTTAATAAAGAACATCCATTATATGCCCCCATGCGCATGTCCCCAATCACGTGTGAGCGAATGAATGCCTGTACGTACATATGTACGTATGAATGTTTATACGAACAGTATACATAAAGCATGCATGCGTTCATTTGTAGACGTGCACACAACGCAGTGGAGTAATCCTGCGACTGCTGTGAGCCAGCGGCTGGAGCCGCATGCGGCTTCTTTAAGGACTGCTTCGTGATTTGCCAAAGATCCACCGGTCTCGTATCCACGTGCAATGCGGCTCTTAGAATATTGAGGGGGGGAGGGGTTGATTTTTTGACAAAAGTAGAATTTCGACGAACTCTACGGACGCCGAAATTCTAACTCCTGCGGAAGACTTCACGGCCCTTTGCTCCTCGCCCGTCGTCCCCACTGATGTCCTCTACCCCCCCTCCCCACGAA